TGGCCCTGCACTGGAAGGGGAGCAGTAAGACTAGAAGACTGTAGGTACTGGGGATTGAACCCAGAAGTGCTATACCACAGAGATACATTCCCAGCCCTTTTTCATTTTTTGAGATGGGGTCTTGCTGAATTACTAAGGGTTTTACTAAATTGCTAAGGCTGGTCTCCAACTTGCAATCTTCCTGCCTCAGATTCCAGGGTCACAGTACACCAACATGCCTGGTCTAAATACAAATGAGAAAATTTTCCAAGGTCACTAGTAAGCAATCAAGCTGAACTTCAGAGCACATGTCCTCAAACATGATTCTATTTTGCCTCTCTACTCAACAGCATAAAGCAGTAAAGACATACCCGTAAAAAAAAAAAAAAAAAAAGGCTTTTCAGAAATGAACAAAAGAAGTTTGTGTAATTAACAGTGAAAAATTCACTAAAACAGAATTTGGGGAAAATGACAAAATTTGACAATGAAACCCAGTAGAATGAAATTTGTTTCCATTTGTGATCAACAGAGTGAGGAGGAGTATATGGTGTCACTGCATAGTGTGAATGACACATCAGCAAAGTTTAAAATAAAGACATTGTGTTCACCTAAAACAAACAAAAAAAGCCAAAAGGACTTACACATTCAATCTGCAAAACTAGGCCTTGACTCAGTATTTGCTGATATTCATCTCAAAAAATTTGAGACCTCAGTTAAAACAGGGATGTGTACTTTCAAAAATATCCACAAAATATAAGCTTACTTACAAGTCACAAATCATTTTTAAAGCTAGCTTAAAAAAGTTCTAATGATGTATCATTTTACACAGCATGTATAACCAGAGGTTGTAACACAAAGTTACTTTCCCTTTTTATTTTTTGAGATGGGGTACAATTTGGAGACCAGTCTTGGCAATTTAGCAAAACCCTTTACACAGCATGTATACAATTGGCACTATAATTTGGAGATTAAATTTCACTTATGATTACTCAGATTGATAAAAAAAAATTATGCTTTAAGAGTATTGAAAGGGGCTGTAGGTATAAAACTTCGGTAAAACATGGGCCCAGTTTACACAAAACCCTGGGGTTCGATCCTTAGCATGCACACACAGCATACTGATAATTTGGTAACAGAAAACAAAAAGTATCAACAAATCAGAATCCCAAACTACCCCCAAACCTTTATGTGGTGTTGAGGATCGAACCAGGGCCTCACACATGCTAGACAAGCGCCTCTATTAAAAAAAAAAAAAATCTAAATGACTGATTTGAAGAACTATTCATTGCAAATATAAATATTCGAAGTATTCTATTGGAAATTAGACTAGAGAAATTCAAATTTAAAAGAACTGAAATGAACTTCATTCCACAAACACAAAATACCCCAAATCTTAGTATCAACCATACAACTTTAAACAAACTGCAAAATTACCACGAATCAAAGATGTTTACTTGTTAGCAAAAAACATCAATTAAAATCTCTAGCATTCACCAATTACTGTGTCTAAACTCTATACTTTAATCACATCATTTACAAAAAAGCTTGAAGTTGTTACTGCTGGAGCTAGTAATCCACTTAAAATGATCACATCACGGCTAAAGCTAGAAAAAAATTTGAACTGAAAGTGATGGAAAAGGCACTCTGAGAATAACTGTCTCAATTCGGCTAAAATGATACTTCTTATTATTTCTTTAACCAAAAACCAGTTTTCTTGCCTGGTATGGTGGCACTTGTCTGTAACGGCAAGTTGGAGGCCAGCCTAGGCAACTTAGACCCTGCCTCAAAATAAAAAGGGTTGGGGGTATAGGTCAGTAGTAGAGGGCTTCCCTACCAACCTCAGTACTTAGGGGAGGAAGAAACAGATCTTCAAATCTTCCAAAGGTATAATTAATCTACTTTTATGGAGCTCTGCACCTGCATCCCCACCCCCAATACATTTTTGAAACCATAGATTTGTATTCCAACAGTCATCCTTAACGGTCGGCATTTACATCATAAATCGTGGGGAGCACTTCACACTTTATTTTCCCCCAAACCAACAAGAGGCAAGCCGCATTACCTGATTTTACAGCTAAGGAAATTAAGATGCAGAAAGCCCAAGATCACGCGGCTCATCAGTGACCAACCCGGGCGTGGAAACCCAGTGTCTGAGCCCAGAACAGCGCTCTTTCCGTGAGACTACCTAGCGGTAAATGAACCAAATCCACGGTTTCACTCCTCGCTAACGCCTGGAGCCAGACCGTGCTGCACCGCGGGCCTACGACCAGCGCGCTCCAGAACGCGGGTCAAGAGCCGCGTGCGGCTACGGACCACGTGCGGCGATATGGTTCCACGGAATTAAACACTCAGTACCAAGCAGAGCGGCCACTTCTTGTGCGACCGCGGCCTTAACAACCCACATGGCTGAGCCACCTGGACGGATTACAAAAATATTTCTTATTAAAACAAATCTGCTTTTCTATTGCTGCGAACAAAGGTCCCCCCGAAACGCAAGGCGGCCTAAGAACGTTTCTGGGGACATGATTTCCCTCGGGAAGCGGCTCTTAAAAGATGTCGCAGGTATGAAATGAGGCTGAGCCACGAGAGAGGCGCAGCCCTTTGGACTCCCCCGCAATTTCTCTAGCATTCACTCATATCTTGGAAGCACTCGGCGAAGCCGCCAAGAGGGTTTAAGAATGCAACGGCCGCAGTGGGCATGCGGGTTCCGGCCCAGGCTGAACTCCGTCTAGTAAAGAGGCTCGACCTTCGGATTAAGGACGGAGGCTTAGAACGGTGCATGGCCCAAGAAGAGGCCGCGCCCGCCACCAAGATGGAGGGGCGCCGCGCGGTCCCACTCACGTTCCCGAAGCCTGTTCTTGAAGTTGGGGTCGCTCCGTCTTTTGCGGTCGAAGTAGATGCAGTAGCCGATGAAGAGGGCCCCACACACGCCGGCGGCGATGGCGCTGTTCCGGCCCACCATCTTCCCTCAGTGCGGCGAACCCGCCGCGAACACTCGAAAGAGCCTCGCCGCCCGTCGCTCTGGACGCCGGAAGGAGGAACAGGCGCTTCCGGCTCCGAGGACCCCGGGGCGCTCGCGTTGGTGCCTGCGCGGCGGAGTGCGCCAACACGCACGCACGCACGCACAGCCTGCGACCCCAGCGAGTGCGGCGGAGCGGCGGGCGCTAGGGATCTTCGCCCGCAAGAACAAAGGTAGAAGGCCGCTGCCTACTGAGCTTCGTCTTGCAGTTGATTCCGGCGGCCTGTGACGTGCACTTTCCTTGCAAGTCCGGTCCTGATCGAGTTGGACACAGTAATTCACTTAAAAAAGGATGTTGCGGGCTGGGGTTGTGGCTCAGTGGTGGAGTGCTCACCTAGCATGCTTGAGGCACTGGGTTCAATCCTCAGCGCCATATAAAAATAAAATAAAGTTATTGTGTCCACCTAGAACTAGAAAATAAATACTAAACAGTATGCTGCAATAGGTGTCATGAGATGTGCGAGAAAAATAGGGCAACTCCGTAGAACATGCATGGAACATGCGCCTCTCCAATGGCCGGCTCTGATTTGCGCCCAGGTTTGCAATCTGATTTTACAGCCCTTTCAGTGCATTGGACCAGAGAAGATAATAGGTAACACTAGGTGCGAGGTCCCCAGGCTCGTGGCCGGTCTGAGGCATAGCAGTCTACAGAGGACTGTCCCTGCACCCTATGAGCCAGGCCGAGGCACCGTGGAGACCTGCACTCACAGGTCATCTAGGAAAGGCCTGCGTTAAGTGCTGAGGAACCTGAGCCCCCCAAGACTGGAAGTCAGACCTGGCGAACATGTGCATCTGCTCCGAATGGGGTGGGGCAAGAGGGTGTGGAGGTGGAGTGAATGATTTGACTCGGGATTGCACACAAGAGATCCACAAAACACAATTTTTGTTATATCCCGCATACACACATTTTCGTTCTCATTCCCTAAAGCTGACAGCAAACCTCAATTACTGAAGGAGGTTATGTCCTGAGCCTCAGCCCTGTGGAACAAAAAACTTGCAGAGTCTGAGGGATTCTCATTGGTAGAGAGCTAGTTTAGCATGCACAATGCCTTGTGTTCAATCCCCAGCACCCCTTCCAAGGAAAAGAGAAATCAGACTTGTAAAAGGCCACACAGCTGACAATGAGAGGCCTCCTGAAAATAAGATTATGTGGTCACATTATGACTCCTGAATAAACACAAACAGGTACTACTCTCCCCCTCAGTCTTGTGTGGAGTAAATGCAATGTTAGTGTTGAGAGAGCTACTGTGAGATATACAATATACCAGGCAACACGTTAATACAAAAGCAAAACTCTAATGAAAAACATGTACATTTACACTTTAGAAATGTTTTCAGGCTGGAAGTCACCTCAACAAGGTTCAGGTGGACTCTTGTGAAATTATCATAACCAGTATTTTTAAATAGAATAAAAAAATTATCATGTCAGTTAAATATACTCATGTTTATACTGGTCACTATGTAAAATTAAAGATAATTTTAGTCACAAAAACACGAGACCACTGATCTCCATCCAATCAAAATATTTAGGTACAGAAATTGCTGAAGGTCAGAGTTGATGAGCTAGATCAAAAACCCACTGAAGCCAGGCAAGGTGGTGCATGCCTTTAATCCCAGCAGCTCAGGAACTGAGGCAGGAGGATCCCAGTCTCAGCAACTTAGCAAGGCACTAAGTTACTCAGTGAAACCCTAATAAAATACAAAAAAGGGCTGGGGACGTGGCTCAGTACCACACAACAACAAAAAATACAACCACTCCAGGGCTCTGTACATGAAAGCTGGAAACAAACTATGCAAGCTATGTTCAGGGCACTAAGTTCCATCTGATCCCAGTGAGAAAGTACTTGGGTAAGTGATGTAAAGCATTCCTTTATATTCTCATTCTAAGTGAGAATTCTTTAACCCTGCATTTTAAGCCCAGAATCATTATTAGAAAATACATTCACAAGGCAGAGTTGGGGGGGGGGGGGAAGTGTGAGTAAAAACAAGAATAATGCTCATGATCAGTCAAGACAACCAATAATCTTTATTTACAATCATTAAAGTCTAGCCACTGTTGACCACCCATATATAACTCTTGTTGCTAAAAATTTAATCACATATAGCATACCACCAGTATTTTTTTCAGGTAACAAAGAATTACACAAAATATCTGGGGATTTTTCTACAAAACACATATTTCCTTTCTCCCTAAGTCATGTGTTTTAAACTATATAGTAAACACATGCAAATTCCGCCTAGAGAAAGTACAAATTTCAATTAAACAGTAACAAACATGAAGTAAAATTTTAATGTTACTGTTGTGTTTTCAAAAGCTATCAATTCATAGGTCACAAGTGTATGCAAAGGCTACATATGGCCATAAAATCTATAGTCTACAGATGTTGCATTTTTATTTTACTAGAAATATGTGCAAAATGCTCAACAATGATTGGCTAACAAATACTTACTGAACCCTACTTACAAAAACTCAAATTTCTAAATGCCATAAGGGATACCAAATATAAAATGTGCAGTCCTTGGATACAGGAAAATGAAGCTCTTTCAACTCTCTACAGAGCTATTTTAAAGATCCACTAGGGGGCCGGGGATGTGGCTCAAGCGGTAGGTAGCATGCTCACCTGGCATGCGTGCAGCCCGGGTTCGATCCTCAGCACCACATACAAACAAAGATGTTGTGTCTGCCGAAAACTAAAGAAAATAAAATATTAAAAAAAAAAAAAAAAAAAAAAAGATCCACTAGGTCTTCCGTGTGTTACTTCTCAGACAGGATTTTCAAATCAGCTATAACTCACTTTCCCTTGACTGCACCCCTTGTTCACTGAAGGTTCTGCCTGCCAGAGATCAGCCACCATCATCTACCTCCCCCAACACCAGGCCTCCCTCCTGTATACCGCTCAGCTTGATAAGATCACTGAAAGGACACCAGCTTGTCACTAGGTGAATGCAGTGCTATTCTCTTCCCTTGTTGAACTTTCTTTATACTTTGTGCCTTACTGTATTTTATTAGAAAACTTTTTCTTAAAAATTATTTTTTTTTTCTGGAAAGACCATTTTATTCTACACAGTGACACTATTTAAGGAACACAAATTTTCCAAGAACATTTTTCAAATTAAAATAAAAAGTGGAAACTGATGACCAATATGCCAAGGATTTCAATAACCAATCTAGTCACTGGTTACATATAAGAAATGAGAGCCACATTTCATTTTATATTCTTGTTGGTTAGTTATTACTGGGTTAGTGGAATGAGATAAGAATACAGAAGTACACTGTCTCAAGTGCAAGGAAAGAAAAATGAGTAGATATTCTACAACAGTTCTTGAATCTTTCTCAGGGTTTATGACTAGACTTGGGATCAGCATTCCCACTTTGAGGCTATTAGACGTGGTCTAAGTGCAATCAGTATTAAGATTTGCTTTTAAGTTTACTTACTTTTTAACTTAGTCTCATTCCAAGTAATAATATTCTTGCAATCACCATCTGAAGTATAAAAATGTGTATTTCTAATATAAACTAATAAATAATCATTAAAATCTTAACATTCATCTTAGGTCCAAAGTCATCTCTTGTACCTTTAGTAGTGACACATAATCCATGGTAACTAGTTTGCCTGCATCTAAAAACAAATGCTGCAAAGGTAGTATTATGATGCAAACCAACTAAGGCTGTGGAAGTCTTCATATTTCACACATAGGATCCATAAACATCCTGACTCAATTCCTGGGTTCATCCACTTAAATCAGCAGTCCTCTACAGGAAAGAGAGCATAGGCTTCCGACGGCTACTTCTGTTTTCTCTGTTTCTTAGCCTGTCTACTTTTCTTCTGTCCTTTCTTCTTCTTTTTAATCAGAACAGCCTTTTCTCCAATAAATACACGTTTAGAATGTCCTGCATCTTTGGAAGCAGAATTAAGACTCTGCTTAGGTTTACTGACTTTTTTCAAACCTGGATTTGAATTTTGCTGTTTTAATTTTTCCTTATTCACAGAACGCATGACTCTGAGTTTTCTTCCCATTAGCTCAGAATTATTTAATTTCAGAGCAAGATGAACAGCATCTGTGTCCTGCAATTTAAAAAAAATTCCAATACGTTAACTTCCAACAGAAATGCACCTGCAAAGGGACTAATAAAACATCCACAGAACTGAACTGCAGCGATTGTCAAACTTGCCCAGGAGCCCTACTCTGGAAGCCCAATCTTGTGTGTGCTTGCTGTGCTCTTCCTGGTTAAGCTCTACACAGCCCTAGGAGCACTCAAGCTGCCTTGGCAAATCCTAAGTGAGTCATGGTCAGACAGGCCTCACTGCTCCATCGTAAGGGATCTCAAATAACATGCCCACTTTACACCAATAAACCTTCTCCCAAGGCACCTTTCTGTAAAAGTCCTACTGTATGGTGAAGGCAGGGAATTCTCCATTACAGTCCTGAAGATATGGGACTAGATATTCTATAGAGTTCCACACAGGTCCAAAATCCTATTATTATTTTACTTTAATAAAGAACTATTAATGCTAATTAACCTGAATGTTTGTTAAAGAGACTCTACAAGCTTACCAAGTGAAAAAGACAAATCAGGGAAGCAGTAAGATCTCTAGAATATACAACATAGGCAACTAAAAAGCTACCTAGTGATACTTATCAAGTCTTCAAAATAGTGATATACTCTGACTTACATATATCCCAATGGGGTGCTTCCTAAAGAAGTAATCCAAAATGCAAGAAACACATAACCACTATAATTCCATTATTATAATGAAGAACAGAGAACACTGATAACATTAGGGAAACACTATATGTTACATCACTTACTGAAAAATGCTTACATGACAGAAAATAAAGCAGGGTTGCAAAGATTTATGTTTGCAGATAAAAGTCAACTTTAAAGAAGGAAAAAACTAAAATGAACTATACAAAGGGGTTACTGCTGGGTAAGAAAAAATTAAGTGCTATGTAAATATATTCTTTTACCACTTAAAGCTGGACATGAAACACTGGCTAATAATTAGTGAATGAAATTTAATCTTGTGCAAAGACTAAAATTTTCTTCAGACTGAAGTAAATTATTTTTTTTTTTCATTTTACAAGGTGGAGATTCAGATATTTAATCCTGGTAATATCCAATATCTACAAAACTACTTACTTAATAGTGTTAGTACGAAGAAAGGGAGAACCTTTTTTTGGTTAGGTGCAATTACAGCAATAACGCTCTACCACTGAACATAATGAATTTAGTTTTCTTCTACTTTTTTGTTTTAATATTTTTTAGTTGGTGATGGATATTTATTTATTTTATGTGGTGCTGAGAACTGAACCCAGTGGCTCACACAGGCTAGGCAAGTGCTCTTCCACTGAACTAAACCCCAGCCCAATGAATTTAGTTTTCTTAAGTTAGAATTTGACATGAAAATAATAATGACATCTGAATGATGCCTTAGCATTGACAATTCCCTGAGCACTTCACGGGATAGTAAAAATGCATTAGTTTTCCATACCTTAAAGAGCACATAGCCAAATCCTTTGCCTACTCCTGTAACTGGGTCTCTCACAATCCTCACTGCCACAATACTCCCACAGTCCAAAAAATGCTCCTCCACAGCAGATTCTTCAACTTCTAAAACAAAAACAACCACAACAGAAATAAAATTTGCCTTCTCCTTGGAAAGCTTGAGATATTTGATAGAGCAAGTTCAACATAGCCAAGAACATATTATTACGTTACACATATCCTAAAATTATGTTAAGCAAGACACTGAGTTATGACTGCCCCTTATTTTAATAACAATATAACAAACTTACTGAATGGGAGATTCCCCACAAATACTGATCTCTTGTCTCTCTGAAACAAAGAGGGTTAATAAAAATCACTCAATGGACCAGAAAATGGGAAGCACCCTAAATTCTCCCATCCAGCATACCCCCACATCTGAAGGGTCATGCACCTTCTGACTTAACCATGCTTCTGCCCTTTGTGTAACTCTCACTATTCCATCTTCCTCATGGACTGAGTGAGCAAAAACTAGCAAGGAGGGCCTTTTCCTTTAGAATGGCACTGACACATAGTACTGCTCAGGAAAGGCTTGCTGTATTGGGGATTGGCAAACCTTTTCTGAAAAGAGTCAGACAGCAAATGTTATAGGCTTTGTGGGCTATGTGGCCTGTAAAAACTACTTAATTTTGGCACTGTAGCTCAAAGACAACCCACAGATGATACAGAAACAAGTGTGGTTGTGTACCAATAAACTTTATTAACCAAAAGAGGGGGTTAGATGGGTATGGCCCTGAGGCCATGGTTTGCTGAAACTATGAGAGGATGCCAATCAAACAGGCCACTAACATATCTCAACTAGACCATTTTTAAAAATTTTTGTTTCTGGTACTGGGGATTAAACCCAGGGGTGCTTAACCACTGAACTATACCTCCAGACCTTTTTATTTTTTTTGTTTTGAGACAGGGTCTAAGTTCCTTAGGACCTCACTAAGTTTCTGGGGCTGGCCTTGAACTTGTGATCCTCCTGTCTTAGCCTCCTGAGTTGCTGAGATTACAGGCATGCGCCACTACACCCAGCTCAGCTAGACTGTTTTGACATCAAAAGAAACACACTATTTCTGGGGGTGAACCCCTACAAACCATTCTTCATCCACTTACAGACGCCTTTGCCAAAAGTGAACCTGATCCCACTGCTCCCACATTTGAATTTCTGGACCAGCTCCTGACAAATCCAGATTCCTCTGCATTGATCTGGCCTTTAACTCTTACTACTGCGTTCACACCCTATCCACCCAATAACACTGTCAAGCTCTTGCCAGGCCCTGAGCAATAGGGTTTCTGTCCCCACTGTTAATACTCCCTTTTCTGCCCAGATATTGCTATCACTCAAAAAAAAAATCCCCCCTCTATGTAAATGTTACTCATCTTTCAAAAATGATATGTGATCCCTTCTCCTGGAAGCACTCCTGCCTCTTCTTGCTGTCATGTCCTCAAGTCAAGTGCCCCATTTCTGAATTGAGCATCTTGTGCACTTGTAACAGTATTTACCATAAAGCAGAATCACAATTTATCCCTCTGCTCATCTCCACTATATAGCATGAGAGTTGAGACTATATCTTAGAATTAAATGCCAGATCAAGCAGGTTCTTAAACACTGTCTAGTGAGTAACTGAACTTTTAGACCTCAGTCTAGAAAACAAGGTGTTAGGCCAACTTTCCATAACCATTGATAGTGACAGAGTAGAGAAATCTTCAAGGGGAAGATGACTTGTTCTTAAAGGCAATGCAGATGCCAGTCCTTATGTCCCAGCCACAGCACCAACTCTGTGATCCCAGAGGACAAAGACTGCTTCATTTTCCTTATGTTCACATTACTGATTCCACCACCTCCCAGCTAATCTCAAAAGAAAATATTTCCTTCCATAAGGTTCTAGTTCAGTTCTTTAAACCAACTAAGTACTACTTACAGACGAGGTCTCAGATGCAAGATCAACTCGAATACAAAATCCATCTGCAATTTGGGCCCCATTTCTGTATTATAAATATAAGGTGGAAATGGCTGTTAAAAATAAGCACTAAATTGGGACTGGAGTTGTGGCTCAGCTGTAGAGTGCTCGCTAGCATGTGCAAGGCCTTGGGTTCGTTCCTCAGGCCCACATAATTAATTAATAAAGAAAGAAAGAAAGAAAGAAAGAAAGAAAGAAAGAAAGAAAGGTATTGTGTCAACTACAACTAAAAAATACTTACAAAAAAAATAAGCACTAAATTACTTAAGTATCTGCTCCAATGTGAATCTGCTGTAATGTTAATAAAAAAGGTCTCCATAGAACTAACAGGACAATCATTCTTTACAAACCTCAAAGACATAATTACCTTTTCAGTGCTTTTGTAGCAGCAAACTCATCCTTAAACACAACATAAGCATTAATGTTTTTCTGATCAGGATGAATTTTACGTCTACACAAGAGAAAGAAAAGACAACAATCAAAGTTACTAAAATAAATCTAGCTTTTCTCCTACTATCTACACATATGACAAAAGAATTCCTGGGTGGAAGTTTCATCTGTTTGGGTAAATATGTAGTAAGAATTCAAAAAGAACAAAGACCTTTCATGGACAGCTTATTCAGTCAACAACAGGTCAATGCCCTGGTAGCCACGGTCCAACCAGCAGCCTCTCTCTATGGCCCCTCGAAGTTACAGTCCCTCCTTTCCCTTCAAAGGTCATCAAAGGCCATCATCAGGCCCATGTTTGTAAGAACTGCTTTCTGCAGTGTGCTATCGCTCAAGTGTCTATTCCTAAACATAACACTTGGCTCTTGTCCATTTTTTTCACTCAATATGTCTTTGGAGTATCATTTAATTTACAAGATTCCCCATCTCTTATTGTTTGAACAGCAGAATTTCCCAGTGCCTGAATTTTCCTGCTGTAAACTAGCAGTGCAGTCCAACATGTACCTTTGTCATGTATTTCTTGGAAGCTGACAGCTGGATCCAAAAGATTGATAAGGCTCGGACTGGGCCCTTTTGTCAGGACCTTAGATAGGTTATATTCTCTGATGGGGAGACACATTATGACTGGTTTTCATTCTTTCTTAATGACAACAATCATTAAGATTTAGCTCTTGGATCAACATGGCGGCGGGCGCGGAGAGATCAAGTCTCTGACCTCTTCAGCTACGCGGGCACAGGGAGTCGTAAATTGTCTAAATGCTGTTTGCTCAGGATCACTAGGCAATGCTGAGCTCACGTGGATCTGGGGCGAACAGTCTGGGCCCCTCAGAACACACACACCGAGCCTGGATCGGCTGAATTCAAGCTCTGGTTCGCCTGCTTCTCGTGACTCAGCACTAACGATCCCGCTGAAATAACTGGTCCGCCCTTCTGAATATACAGAGGTAAAAGCCAACTCAGCCTTCATAGGCAGTGGCCACAGGATTGAAACAGGGGCTTGGGAGAGACAGTCAGGACCCACCCGTTGCATTGGTCACCCGGCAAAGGGAACGAACGGTCACCATTTGCATGGGATACCACCATGGCAGAGAACTGACGTCACGGGCGGAGGACATAACTTCATTGAAACCAGCACAACAGGTGTGTAATCCCCTGGCCATCTCTCTCCACACAGCGGGGAAACCTTAAGGGCCCCTCCCAGCTCTCCTGTGAGCGTGATAGCCAGACAAAGGGAATCAGGAGTGGTGCAGGACTCGAGGTGTGGAATTCCCGGCTACCGCTCCCACCAGTGCTGACAACTGAGGTCTCTTGCACCAGCTACTGGGGGCGTGGCTACCGGAGGGCAAGAAAATTCGCTGGGGGTTCTCAGCCTCAAGCTCTACAAACGTAGGGTCTGAGGGAGGCAAACAGGGAGAGTGTGCCCAGGCGTTCATGAAAACAGGGCTCCCAGGAACAGCAGACCTGGCGTGTAGCCAGTATTGTGGTGAGCGTCACAGGTGAGCGGGGCCTGGCTTGAGGAAACACAAGACAAGGCCCTAGGCACTCAGGATTGGAGACCCGCCCAGTCTGGGAGGAAGAGCTGCTGCACAGTGATTGGTTCCCACCTATAGAGAGGAGAAGCTTGGCCCAGTAGGCACAGCTCCACCTACTGGAAGAGAAGTTAATTGAACTCTATGACTGCATTTATTATTATTATTTTTCTTTTTCTTTCATTTTCATTTTTTTGTTGTTCTTTAACTTTTTTAAATGTTTTTAATTTTTTTTAATTTTTTATTTTATTATTATTATTTTTTTAAATTTTAATTTTCATTTTTTATTATTTTTTTTAATTTTTTTTCATTCTTACTTTATTTTCTATTTTTTTCTTTTGTCTTTTCATTTCTTTTCAATTTTCTTATTCCCCCTTCCTTGAATTCTACCTCTTTAGTGACTTCTTCCCTTCCCTTCTAATATCTTTCCTCCTAAGCATCAAATATATTTATAAGAGTAAACAGTAACTCATCAGTCAAACAGAACAAGAAGTAACATGAGAAGCATAAAAAAGCAACGAAGAAAAGGAGTACAAACAATGCAGGACAGCCTAAATATTCAGGAGAACCTAGAGTCATCAGAAAAATGGTCATATAAGGAACTCAAGGAATACCTTAGACAGATGGAATGGAACCTTAAAGAGGATACGAGACAGCAAATCCAAACAGTGAAAGACCACATGAAAATGAATTACATAAACAGATAAAAGAAGAAGTTAAGCATCTTTATCAGGAGATAGAGATTATAAAAAAAAAAAAATCAAACAATAATTCTAGAAATGAAGGAAACAATAAACCAAATTAAAAACTCAATTGAGAGTATCACTAACAGAGTGGAGCAAGTAGAAGCCAGAACGTCAGATAATGAAGACAAAATATATCATCTTGAAAAGAGTCTAGCCAACTCAGAAAGGCTGGTAAAAAAAATCACGAGGAAAACATCCAAGAGATATGGGATAACATAAAAAAACCAAACTTATGAGTCATCGGGATAGAGGAAGGTACAGAGATTCAAACCAATGGAATGAGTAACCTGCTGAATGAAATAATTACAGAAAACTTTCCAGAAATAAAAAAGGAAACGGATATACAAATTGTAGATGCATACAGGACACCGAGCACACAAAATCACAGTAGACCAACGCCAAGACACATTGTTATGAAGATATCCAATATACAGAACAAAGAGAAAATATTAAAAGCTACAAGAGAAAGGATGCAGATTACATTCAGGGGTAAACCAATAAGGTTAACAACGGATTTTTCATCACAGACGCTGAAAGCGAGAAGATCCTGGAACAACGTATTTCAAACACTGAAAGACAATGGATGTCAACCAAGAATTCTGTATCCAGCAAAATTAAGCTTCAGGTACGACAACGAAATAAAAATCTTTCATGATAAACAAAAGCTAAAAGAATTTGCAGCCAGAAAACCAGCATTGCAAAGCATCTTGAGCAAAACACTACACGAGGAAGAAATGAAAAACAATAACCAAAACCATCAGTGGGAAGTGCCTCTGTAAAGACAGAGGGCGAGGGGAAAGCTAATCATGGAGAAACAAACTAAATTAAAAAAAAAAAAAGATTAATAATCAAACATGGCTGGAAGTACAAACCATATATCAATAGTAACTCTAAACGTTAATGGCTTAAACTCTCCAATAAAGCGACATAGGCTGGTAACATGGATTAAAAAAAACAAATCCAACAATATGCTGCCTCCAGGAGACACATCTGATTGGAAAAGACATACACAGGCTGAAGGTGAAAGGTTGGGGAAAAATATACCACGCACACGGTCCTCGTAAGCAAGCAGGGGTGGCCATCCTCATATCGAATAAAATCGACTTCAAGACTAAGTTAATCAAAAGGGATAAGGAAGGACATTATATACTGTTAAAAGTAACCATTCACCAACAAGACATAACAATTATCAATATTTATGCACCAAATAATGGTGCTGCGACGTGCATAAAACAAATTCTCCTCAAGTTCAAGAATCAAATAGACCACAACACAATAATTATGGGTGACTTCAACACACCTCTCTCACCATTGGACAGATCCTCCAAACAAAAGTTGAATAAAGAAACTATAGAACTCAATATCACAATCAATAACCAAGACTTAACTGACATACATAGACTATATCACCCATCATCAAGTGGATATACTTTTTTCTCAGCAGCACATGGATCCTTCTCAAAAAAAGACCATATATTATGCCATAGGGCAACCCTCAGTAAATATAAAGGGGTGGAGATAATACCATGCATTTTATCTGATCATAATGGAATGAAACTGGAAATCAATGATAAAAGAAGGAAGGAAAAATCCTACATCACATGGAAAATGAACAACACATTACTGAATGATCAATGGATTACAGAAGAAATAAAGAAGGAAATCCAAAAATTCTTAGAGATAAATGAAAATACAGACACAACATATCGGAATCTATGGGACACAATGAAAGCAGTTTTAAGAGGGAAATTCATCGCATGGAGGTCATTCCTCAAAAAAAGGAAAAACCAACAAATAAATGAGCTCACACTTCATCTCAAAGCCCTAGAAAAGGAAGAGCAAAACAACAGCAAATGTAGCAGGAGGCAAGAAATAATTAAAATCAGAGCGGAAATCAACGAAATTGAAACAAAAGAAACTATTGAAAAAATTAACAAAACTAAAAGTTGGTTCTTCGAAAAAATAAATAAGATCAACAGACCCTTAGCCATGCTAACGAAGAGAAGAAGAGAGAGAACTCAAATCACTAACATACAGGATGAAAAAGGCAATATCACAACAGATGCTACAGAAATACAGAAGACAATTAGAAATTATTTTGAAAACCTATATTCCAATAAAATAGAAGATAGTGAAGACATCGATAAATTTCTTAAGTCATATGATTTGCCCAGACTGAGTCAGGAGGATACTCACAACTTAAACAGACCAATATCAATGGATGAAACAGAAGAAGCAATCAAAAGACTTCCAACCAAGAAAAGCCCAGAACCGGATGGGTATACAGCGGAGTTTTACAAAATCTTTAAAGAAGAATTAATACCAATACTTTTCAAGTTATTTCAGGAAATAGAAAAAGAGGGAGCTCTGCCAAATTCATTCTATGAGGCCAACATCACCCTGATTCCGAAACCAGACAAAGACACCTCAAAGAAAGAAAACTACAGACCAATATCTCTGATGAACATAGATGCAAAAATCCTCAATAAAATTCTGGCGAATCAGATACAAAGGCACATCAAAAAAAATTGTGTACCATGATCAAGTAGGATACATCCCTGGGATGCAAGGATGGTTCAATATACGGAAATCAATAAATGTTATTCACCACATCAATAGACTTAAAGATAAGAACCATATGATCATCTCCATAGACGCAGAAAAAGCATTCGACAAAGTACAGCATCCCTTTATGTTCAAAACATTAGAAAAACTAGGGATAACAGGAACTTACCTCAACATTGTAAAAGCTATCTATGCTAAGCCTCAGGCTAGCATCATTCTGAATGGAGAAAAATTGAAGGCATTCCCTCTAAAATCCGGAACAAGACAGGGATGCCCTCTATCACCACTTCTATTCAATATAGTTCTCGAAACACTGGCCAGAGCAATTAGACAGACGAAAGAAATTAAAGGCATAAAAATAGGAAAAGAAGAACTTAAATTATCACTATTTGCGTGTGAATCAGGCGGTATAGCGATACCAGACTTCAAACTATACTACAGAGCAATAGTAACAAAAACAGCATGGTACTGGTACCAAAACAGGCAGGTGGACCAATGGTACAGAATAGAGGACACAGAAACCAATCCACAATATTACAACTATCTTATATTTGATAAAGGGGCTAAAAGCGTGCAATGGAGGAAGGATAGCATCTTCAACAAATGGTGCTGGGAAAACTGGAAATCCATATGCAACAAAATGAAACTGAATCCCTTTCTCTCGCCATGCACAAAAGTTAACTCAAAATGGATCAAGGAGCTTGATATCAAATCAGAGACATGGCATCTGATAGAAGAAAAAGTTGGCTACGATCTACATACTGTGGGGTCGGCTCCAAATTCCTCAACAGGACACCCATAGCACAAGAGTTAATAACTAGAATCAACAAATGGGACTTACTCAAACTAAAAAGTTTTTTCTCAGCAAAAGAAACAATAAGAGAGGTAAATAGGGAGCCTACATCATGGGAACAAATCTTTACTCCTCACACTTCAGATACAGCCCTAATATCCAGAGTATACAAAGAACTCAAAAAATTAAACAATAAGAGAACAAATAACCCAATCAACAAATGGGCCAAGGACCTGAACAGACACTTCTCAGAGGACATACAATCAATCAACAAGTACATGAAAAAATGCTCACCATCTCTAGCAGTCAGAGAAATGCAAATCAAAACCACCCTAAGATACCACCTCACTCCAGTAAGATTGGCGGCCATTATGAAGTCAAACAACAACAAGTGCTGGAGAGGATGTGGGGAAAAGGGTACTCTTGTACATTGCTGGTGGGACTGCAAATTGGTGCGGCCAATTTGGAAAGCAGTATGGAGATTCCTGGAAAAGCTGGGAATGGAATCACCATTTGACCAAGCTATTGCCCTTCTTGGACTATTTCCTGAAGACCTTAAAAGAGCGTACTACAGGGATACTGCCACATTGATGTTCATAGCAGCACAATTCACAATTGCTAGACTGTGGAACCAACCGAGATGCCCTTCAATAGATGAATGGATAAAAAAAATGTGGCATTTATACACCATGGAGTATTATGCAGCACTAAAAAATGATAAAATCATGGAATTTGCAGGGAAATGGATGGCACTAGAGCAGATTATGCTTAGTGAAACTAGCCAATCCCTAAAAAACAAATACCAAATGTCTTCTTTGATATAATGAGAGCAACTAAGAACAGAGCAGGGAGGAAGAGCAGGAAGAAAAGATTAACATTAAACAGAGACATGAGGTGGGAGGGAAAGGGAGAGAAAAGGGAAATTGCACGGTAATGGAGGGAGACCCTCATTGTTATACAAAATTACATATAAGAGGTTGTGAGGGGAATGGGAAAATAAACAAGGAGAGAAATGAATTACAGTAGATGGGGTAGAGAGAGAAGATGGGAGGGGAGGGGGGATAGCAGAGGATAGGAAAGGTAGCAGAATACAACAGTTAATAATAGGGCATTATGTAAAAATGTGTAACCGATGTGATTCTGCAATCTGTATTTGGGGTACAATTGGGAGTTCATAACCAACTTGAATCTAATGTATGAAATATGATACGTCAAGAGCTTTGTAATGTTTTGAACAACCAATAAAAAAAATTTAAAAAAAAAAAAGATTTAGCTCTTGGTGCTACTCAAAGGCTAAATCCATTAACTCAGTAGGTTTGCAAAATGGTGATACAATTTAGAATAATGAATGCAAACACCCTTTCTGTCCCGTTGTTTGTGACTAAAACATTCAGGGTCACTCCAGGAGAACTGGGCTGCAGGAAATAACCACACAAGAGAGAGAAATACCTTTATCTTTGGGGGTGCTGTGACAGGTCCTCTGACCTTAAGGGTCTACAGAAAGAGACAGAGCAGCGACCCCTTTTATTGAGGAGAAGCCATTCAAATGAGGCAAGGGATCAGGGGGCTGAGACAGCAGACCCCTTTAGGAGGTCTGCTGTCAGCGGGCTGATTGACATCTAGGAAGGCCACACCCAAGGGCAGAGTAAGAGAAGGGGACACACAAGGGGCATTTCTATGGAACATTCTATCCTAAACAGGGCAAGGGGTTATACCACAAAGGACCAGGTGAGCATACCTCGACCCATGGGGCTGCAGGAAGGCACGCCTACACATGAAGACATTTGGTTGCATTATTTCTACCCTCAAGATTGGGGCTACCATCTTCGGCTACTTAAAAGCAGCCAGATCACCGGGTGACCAACAGTGCCTCAAACCAATTAGGAGAGGAAAAACGCTGGTCACATGACGTGACAGCCTCCCACACCTTTCTAATGGAACAATTCACCATCACGAATTTATCCTACAGATCAATTAGCACATGTACAAATTATCTGAGTACAAGTTTATTCACCTACATCAGCATTATTTGTTATGGCCACAAAACTTGGGGGAAAAAAATGAATGACCAACAGTGGAATGTTTTCCAAATAAATTAAGATAAATCTGACAAGATACACTCTGAGAAAGAATTACTTTTATACTAATACAGACAGATCTCCAAGCTGTGCTCACTCAAAAAATGGAACATGTGGAATAGTGCAAACACCAAATATCACTGAGTTCAAAAGCAGGAGCTGTGGGGGGCAACTCAGTGGTAGAGCCTATCCCTAGAACATAAAGTCTCGGTTCCATCCCTAGACTCCTCCCATCCAAAGAACAGGTCATCTGTGGGGGAAAGAATATGGAAATACATAAAATATGCCTCAAGAAGGTTGCACAAGAAACTTACAACTTAGGGAAAAGGTACAGGAAGGAAACTTTTCATAGTACACACTTTCATGTTTTGTGCGTCTGAATCATCCACTTCATTACCTATTTAATTAAAAAACAAACAAACAAAACCCCAAAAAACAAAACACAAAACCCCGGGAAAAAGGGAGACTGATGGCAATCACAGGATGCAAATTCCAATTTTCTGGCACATCCCACCCAAACTTCTCAGTACTGCTATAACATAATCTGGTCAGAACTTCTGTTTCTGTTGAAATTTAGGTTTCTGAGTTTCAGCCTCACACAGAAATAAGTGTTTATATACCTCAAAAAGAAGGGCTGCACTACACCAAGTCTCCCATTCCCAAAAGCATCTGCACAATACCCCAAGTTGAGGACCTACACATTCGGTCACCTCAACAAACATTGTGGAAGTCAGTCAATACTTATCAAGTACTAACCACACACCTGGCACTACAATGGTTATGGGGAAAGACCAGCAAAGACTCTGCTCTACCAAACAACTGCAAATTACCAAAAAAGCCACCAACATGTTCAAAAGGATTGAAACGCTTCTACCTTAGTGCATCTTAAAGACACCTCTGCAACTGAAATATAGCATGTGAAGTACCATCAAGAAAAAAACACCCAACAGAGAGAATAATATAAACCCTGCATAAAGCTGAAAGGGAATGAGAAATAAACCTTCCATGTGGAAAGAGGGAACAAGACTTGTATGTTACTCTTAACACCTAGAAAAAGGGGGGCATCCCTTTTTGAACCCCAAGCATCACCACCTGTATGGTCCCCAAACCCTCAGGGAACTTCAAGTGGCCACAGGCTGGTCATTTTTAAGATGATCAGCAAAACTAACTACAGAATTCCAATCTGACCAGCCATAGCAAGTATACACACTCCTGATTTTTAGATGTACCTTGCTCAGACACTGATACACACCTAAGAACGGAAGAAATGTGGTATGTATGATTGATGGCAAAGAATTTGGAAGAAAATGAAGATGTTTTGTGCCCAAACACTATAAACATTCTTGAAATTCTCATGGCACATTTTCAATAAATTATTTTCCATACTTTCTTGTAACTACAATTTAAATTAATATTTAAATACAAACATCTGACAAATTTATATGCTATCACACACAAGGAAATAGTCAAGCACACTAAATGATCAAATACAAAAATCTATGAAAATGCTAAGTAATGACCTCATTTTTTAACAAAAACAGAAGACAAGTTAAGACAACTCCTTCCTTTTAATTAAACTTACTTTATTGCTGCCAACTTTTTGGATAGAGTTCCTTCTGCTGGAATCTGTTAAGAGAAAAAAAAGTATTACAGAAAATTCAATATTTGAAATATTACTTCAATAATTTCCTTTCAATTGAAGCCAATATCTGTCATGTTGTGATCAGAAGCATTTTAGGGAAATGATCACATCAGAAACAACAGTCCTGATGGTTCGTGAGAGGGATGTCCTGGGCTCAGGACAGAAATCCCTACAGATGCAGTACACACCAGGCTGAACAGGCCAGGTCTGTCAGACGGCCTAGATGAAGTCAGCACACTGAGTTTGCCAACCGCCCAGTGACTCCAAGGGGTAGAAACGCCAGTAATGAAGGCATGAGAAGAAAAGGAAAATCATTTTATAGAGTGGGAAAAGAGCAATGCTTATAGATTAATATCTTGTTTATCTTATATCATTTTAAACATGTCTAACTAAATTGGTAAGTAATGTAAAAGGATTTGTTACCTCATCCGTATCTCTAAGTGTTTATGTATTCTAATTGGAAAAACATTCAGTGCTTTCTTAAATTGGGCAATATTCAGGATCACTTTATTTGCAGTCCTATTCAACCTATTTATTTAGCAGAACTGGGGACTGAACCCATGGGGGCACTATCATTGAGGCACTTCCCCAGTCCTTTTTATTTTGAGACAGGATCTCATAAGTTGTCCAGGCTAGACTCAAACTTGCAATTCTCCTGCCTCAGCCTCCTGAGTTGCTGGGATTTCAGGTGTGAGCGACTGTGCACAGGTTAGTCATATACAGTTTTTAAGAGTGAATGAATCAGGCAGATAATACGTTTTGGAAGAGGTGGAATTTCAAGTTAAAACATTTATAAATGTCAGGTCAGTAATGTGCCAAACACGGCTTGGGTACTAAAAAGGCCAAGGTGAAAATACACCAAGCCTGCAAGCTCACAATCCATGAATGGTGAATCTCTCTAGGCAGTTGTTAAAAATCTCCAGAACACTTTTCCCTCCCTTTACTTACCTAGTAAGTTTATACAGCAAAACTAAGAAATTTGAACTATTTCTTCTTTTCTCAGTTTGTCTTACTCAAATTGCTAATGTAATCAAACTCTCAGTGTAGACAGAAAAATAGTACAAGACATGGGGCATACACCTGTCACTGAAGATAATAAATAAATGCAACACCAAGCAATAAAGCACATTAAGAATTTACAGGAAGAGGGCTAGAGTTGTGGCTCAGTGGTAGAGCGCTCGCCTGGCATGCGTGAGGCAATAGGTTCGATCCTCAGCATCAATGAAAAAAATAAATGTACTATGACTATCTACAACTAAAAAAGTATGTATTATAAAAAAGAATTTACAGGAAGAAACACCACTTAATGGTATAATGTATCAGAAAAGGCTTGAAGAAATGCCAGTTTTACCTGCACACCGAAAAATATGATAAAATGGTACTTTGAGGAGAATTGCAGGCCAAAGCAAGTAAAATGAGTCAAATGACAAAATCTGTATGTGGAGGAACATGCTACCAGGCTAAGCACTAAACACACATTTCAATGGCCATGAAAAGAACAGAGCTTCTACATACTTCAATACATATTCAATGTCATCAGGTGCTGGTGACCCAATGACAAGCAAGTTAAACTGCACTTGTAATCACGGCTTACATCTGACAGGGCAGGCAAACAATGGTATCAAATAGTTTCTAAACAATGCACAAAGTTCCAAGCTTCAGGATGGAGCCAAAGAGAACCCAGGGTGAGAGAAGAGACGGAGCAGGCTCCGCAGTGGTGAGGAGCAATACCAGGACTCAGGGTATGTGTGTGTTTATAGAATGTTAACAAGTGGCACAGAAAAAGTGGCAAGAGTTCCAGAAAACTGCTGGTAGCTGACAGTTATGTGGAGACAAAATATAGGAAAACCAAAGGAAGAAACTCTAAAAGGGTTTTACAACTACTCTCTCTCTTTTTTTTTTTTGGTACTGGGGATTGAATCGGGGTGCACTTTACCATTGAGATATATCACCAGTCCTTTTTTTTATTTTGAGACAGGGTCTTGCTAAGTTTCTTATGGCTTCTCTACATTGTTGAGGCTGTCCTCAAACATGTGATCCTCCTGCCTCAGCTTCCTGAGTCACTGGGATTATGGCATGCACCATTGTGCCAGGCCCTTTACTACTAATCTAACAAGAGGTGATGAGAATGTAGCTACGGCAGGGGGTACAAAAAGAATGACTCCAGCTGAAAAACTAGGCTGGGTGAGACAAAGAGTGAAAGGCAACTCCAAAGCCTGCAGCCAGGTGTAACCGAGGAACAGAGAAAATCAGCACACAGCATAGGTCAGAGTGGGGTACCGGTGGAGGTAAGCACAGGTACACTGCAGCTGGGGAGATGGCAAGACACACAGTCAGCAGACTAGGCAAGGCTCTAGTGTGGGGAAATGGGACTCAGAAAGGCAGATAAAACACAAATGGCAAACACACTGACTGACAGATTATGGTGACTACCAAACTCTCGAGAAATGTCTCCTTGTACAGCAGTGGACAGCCCTGCCTCCTGAAACATTTGGCAATATTTAGAGATATTTTTGGTTGTCACAACTGGGGTGGGGAGGGTTGCCCATCTAGTGGGTGAGGGTCAGAGATGTTACTAAATATCCTATAGTGCACAGGGCTGCCCTCAACAACAAAGAATGACTCAGCCTGAAACGCCAGTGTATGAAGGCCAAGAAACCCTATTTTAGAGAATCACTTAAGAACAATTAGAAACATGAAAAAACATTGCCTACACTCTTTTACATTATCTATATTAATAAATAGTGTTCACAGGGCTGAGGTTTTGGCTCAGTGGTAGAGCACTCCCCTAGCACAGGTAAGGAACTGGGTTCAATCCTCAGCACCACGTAAAGATAAATAAATAAATAAAGGCATTGTATCAATCTACAACTAAAAAACAATTTTTTAAAATAAAAAATAATAGTGTTCAAGAATATATACTACCATAAGTTAACTATCCAGAAAGAAAAACATGAATGGGAAAAATCAAACAACATGAATTATGCTTATTTCATGCTCCAGGGAATGCGGCCATGACTGGTCCTGAGTATGCAACTGGTGAAATCAGACATCCCTAATGTCAATCCAGTTTTAACATTAATTAATTAAAAGACACATCATCTACACCTGCTTAACCTCATGCCAACCTCCCACACTGAATGCCTCTTACAGGGTTGCCCAATTCCAGAAACACTATTCAGTATCAACAATTCTGCTTAATGTATTGACACAACAAAGTGATTCACCCACCCTCAAACATACACAAGAACATCACTTTACTTATTACATGAGCTTATTAAATTATGTAACCAGTTTGACATTCAGAAACAGACACTGAGAGCCATCTTCTCCTGTGCTAGATTTACACCTACTGACTCCAAAATCTAAAGCTCTTCCACCATCATTATTACCAAAAAGTCAGTTAGTTTAATTCACATGAAAAATTTTACAATGACTGAAATTTTAAGAGGGGGAGAACTTACTAGAGAACGAAACCGCACAGATTCTATTTGTCCATACTCCCTAAAAAATGACTTCAGTTTCTAAAATTAAAAAACAAAAACAAAAACAAATTAGTCCATTTTCAGAACATCAAGTAGGTGTCACAAAAAGTAATGCCATCAAATTGTCTGACAGTCTTTTCTTAAAAAACGTCATGTTATTTATTTATTTTTATGTGGTGTGGAGGATCGAACCCAGGGCCTTGCACGTGCTAGGCGAGCGTTCTACTGCTGAGCCACAACCCCAGCCACTGTCTGAAAGTCTAAAGCCAGTTTTCATTTTAAGAATAACCGAGAAAAAACAGAAGAGTACTGTTCAGTCAGAAGGAAAAGTTTTACTGAAACTTATAGTAAAACAAAACACAATTTCAGTTCCTATCAGTGCCTATGAGTTGCACAATACTTTTGTTTCAATCTTTTAGTCTTTTATCCATGTTAGTTGAGGATAGACTGGGATTTTCACATATTCTCTGATTTTTTTCACATTGGTTTAAAACAAAATGAATTTTAAGGAAGCTTATGTCACACTAAGAAATGCTTCAGTTATGTCTAATTGAGACAACCAGCTTGAACAAACTCCTAGAAAGCAAATTTTAAACATTATTCCTATTACTGGATGTGAAGAACACATAGGTTTTATAGGTTGGGCAGTTTTATAAATAGGGCAATAATTTCTATAACTCATTCTGTTTAAAAAAAAAACTTACAAATGATAATTTGCTCAAACCAACATATGCCACACTCCCTTCCCTTAAGCCCCTTAACCTAACAGGAAGATAAATAAAACTATGTTACTGAGCAAAATGTGTGATGGCCTAGTAAAAAAAATCAAAAATCAAATGCTAGGAGACAAAAGCATTAGGGAGAAAGGAAAAAACCAAGACATCTTTTGTACTGTTTTAAAGAAGTAGAATTTATATGGTCTTCAAAACACCAGCAGCTTTTTGATGCGAGAATTGTCAATACAGTGACTACTACATGAAAACAGTGCCAGGTGCAGGGGTGCACACTTGAAATCCCAGGCTCAGGAGGCTGAGGCAGGAGGATCCCAGCCTCAGCAAAAGCAAGGCACTAAGCAACTCAGCGAGACCCTGTATCTAAACAAAATACAAAACAGGGCTGGGGATGTGGTGCAGTAGCCAAGTGCCCCTGAGCTCGATCATAGGTCCCCCCGCCACCCCCCCCCAAAAAAAATAGTAACATAAGGGCATGTTTTAGATTTAGTGAACCTAACATTATTCAAGAAACTTAGAATGTACTCATTCTTTCACAACAGCAAATGTTTATAGAGCCCCTACTATGCTCAAGGTACCTTCTCATGTGTGAGAGACAGAGCAGTGAAGGAGACAGACGAATACCCCTGCACGTAGTTTTCATCCCAATGGCATATAACAGAGATGAGGCCGGAAGAAAAAAGCTTTTGATTTGCAAAAGCCTGAATTTGGACAATGACTATAGAAATAAAAAAGTGGGGCAAACATTGGAACCAATGTGTAGTAGAATGATAAATGTAGTCCTTGATAATAAAGTTATATCAATGACTTATCAAATTATGTGCTTACTCATAGTAAGAGAGTAGATAAAGTTATTAATTTCTTTAAATATTTACAAAACCACAAACTCACCTTCTTATTACATGTGACAGGCAAGTTCCCAACAAATATAGTCCTCTCATTCTTTAATCTTTCTTCTTCTTGATTGATCTCAATTTTCTTTCTTTGACTTACATTGCAGTTGTGTCTATCAGTTACTTTAATACTACACTGGGAATTTTTCCCTTTCTGCCCTTGTTTCTGATGAATTTCTTCTTCTAAATCAGCACTTGCTAGAGCACTTTCCCTAATTTTAAGGCAAAAACATAGAATGAGAAGTTATGGAAGTAAGCATTTGACCAAGTACAATTCTACCCTCCTTATTAGAAACATTTCCCGGGACTTGTGGTTTTTCTAAATGTAAATCTACTACAAATAAATATATCAAAAGACTTAAAGTAGCATAACTAAAAAGAAACTAAGAGACTTAGAAAATGAATTCTATTACTCAGGAGTTAGAAAAAGTTAAGCACAAATTTTAAACACAAGCTAAAACCAGCCAAGCAATAGCAGCAGCAACAAAAGTTCATCTAAACAAAAGTCAGTTTATTTAAAGTTCTTGGAGATTTAGTTTACACTTCATCAAAGCCTAATTTCAGTCTCTGCTCTACAACTTGGACAATGCAGCATTCCCCAGGAATCTAAAAAGGTTTATATGGCCACCAAGCACTCACTTTGTAAAAAGAATTTGGTTAATAGAAAAAACTGGATCGCCAAACTTACAAAAGCTCCTTAATAGTTAAAAGGCTGCTTATCAAAAGTAAATTGGTGCACATAAAGACATAAGGTCTGACATGGATCCAAAGAGAGAACGAGACAGGGATCTTAAGAAGTGAGAGGAAAGAATGGGAAGTGGGAATCATTTTAAAAAGATTCACCCATGAGCAAATACTTGCTGTGTTCCGACTATGTTCTAGGCTCTGAGGACATGAAGAAACTATCAACCTTTCAATAGCAAAGTCAAGACAGGCCAAATTCAAAACAGAAAAAACATCAGCTAAAATACATGGTATAGGAACTTAAAAGAAATAAGAGAAACAAGATTTCTAAGAGGAGGAAAGCAGTATCTGGCACACAGTCCTCAAGAAACATGGGCTACAAGTACTTCTCCACCAGACCAAATCTCCACTACAGAGAGGGTCCACATCCAGATTTACCCACCATGGTATGTCATGTCACATCCAGATCTGCTCACCATGGTATGCCATGTATACAGTAAGATGGAAAGGAACTACGATGACATGGTAAACTAAGGTCCAGGGCAAGAAGAAATATCCATGTTATGCAAAAGCACTTAAATTTCTATTCTACAAAAGACGGGGAGCTACCAAAGATCGAAAATATCAAAATGATCAATCTGAGCAACAGCCAGAAAGACAAGAAGAGGTCAAGGATGGAGAAGACAGTCGAGTAAGGAGATGACTATAACAGTGTGTATCTAAGAAGAAAACAGATTAACCAGAGCAGGGATGGAGGTGTAAAGGAGAAAACAAATTAAAGAGGTAATTAAAAGAGCACTGATCAAGTATGGTGATGCACACCTATAATCCCAGTTACTTAGGAGGCTGAGGCAGAAGCATCACTTGAGCCCAGGAATACAGGCCAGCCTAGGGATAAGGTGAGACCCTGTCTATTAAAAACAAAACAATAAAGTACAAGCATCTGGCAACTAATGGCTCATGCAGGGAAATGGAAGAGCACAGGATGATTCCTAAAACACTGGCTTAGTCAACTTACAAAGTGAGTGGAACCATCATGCCCATAAACAGATTTGATGAGGAGGATCATCTCCATTTAAAGCACATGGCACAGATGTCAGTAGGCAAAAGTTAAACAAGTCTAGAGATCAGGAGAGGGTGCACAAAACAAACAAACAAACAATGCCCACAATGAACAGTGAAAAAAAATTAAAGTTCTGAGAAGATGACCAGGAACAAGAACTTTAAGGAAAAGCAACATTTTAAAGAGACAAAATGAACCCACATTAACAGTGAAAAGGAAAAGACAAGCAAGAAGAGAATTAGAAGAAACTGCTCTCAGAGAAACCAACAGCTTCACTGATGAAAGCAGCCATGTAAAATGTGACGGAGAGGACAAGGGCTGCACTGCCCATTATATATGACTAGTAAGTCAAGATGCATCACCAAGCACTGTTATATTGTTTGGACAAAAACAAAAACACCACCTTAGAAAAGTTCATAAATCATGAAAAGGAGCCAGGCATGGTGTCACACTCCTCCAATCCCAATGACTTGGGAGGCTGAGGTAAAAGGATGGCCAAGTTCAGGGCCAGCTCCAGCAACTTAGGAAGGCCCTGAGCAACTTAATAAGGCCCTGTCTCAAAAAAAAGGGGCAGAGGATGTGATTCAGTGGTAAAGTATCCCTAGGTTCAATTCTCAGTACAATAATAAAAAAAAAAAAAAGTCACAAAATGGGGAAGAGTCCAACAACAAACTACTTTTCCCCAAAAGTACAAATATGAAGGAAAAGACAGTGGAAACAGTAGCAAACACACAACAATCGAGAATGGGGGTTTTTGGTTATTGGATTTCTTTTTTCAAGAAGAGAACCTTGAGCATGTTAAATGGTTAAAAGTTCAAACACAGTGTGGTATGCTGTGGCTCAGTGGTAGAGCGCTTGCCCTGCAAGAGAGGCCCTGGTTTCTATCCTCGGCACCACATAAAAAATAAATAAATAAAAATAAAGATATTATGTCCATCTACAACTAAAAAAATATATTAAAGAAGTTCAAAGACAAAGGAAAAGAAAAGGAGAGGATCTGATGGCAAAATCTCTAAGGAGGCAGAATAGGTATGTGATAGACGCAGCACAGGTGGCAGAAATAATTTTTAACAATCCTCAGTACAGCCAAAAAAAACTAATAGAAAAAATTTCCTCCCTAGGAAAACCAAACTGACCTTTTATAAACATTCTGAAATAATTAATGATAAAACATAATCCATAAGTTCGATTCCATATGGGGAGGACACTCTGAATACGGCAAAGGTGAAACAGGTCTGTCCTAATGACTGCCAACAGTGGGTTCCTTATTCTTTGCAACTTCGTATAAGATTTTTACAAAAAATAGGACGAAATATGAAACGAGAAAACAACTAGGATGCATACTGCGGGCGTGTGAAGTTTCATTTCTTACCATACGATTCTTTAACGTCGGCTAAGAGAACTGTACCAACCTGTCGGCCAACCTGGCCTCCGTCTCGGACAGTTTCTTCCTCGCTTTCGTCTTTTTTGCAGGTTCCTGCAAAAGTGGCCTGCGACCCTGGGGTGGGCTCTCCTCCCGCGGCTCGCGCCCCCGCTTCCGCGAGGGTTCCTGTGGGGAGCGTGACGTCAGGCCGCGCCGAGCACCAGGGCGCTCAGGGGCCTTCGGGGACGCCGCGCGGGCTCACCTGTGGCGCGGGGACGTACACCGGGAGGGCCCGCGGCGCCGAGGCGCTGAAGAGGGCGGTCAGCGTGGTGTCGCTGCCTCGCGGAGCGCGCACGCCACGTAACAGGCTGTCGGCGACCTGTCCCACCAGGTAGTCCCCGGCCGCGCTCCCTCCGCCGTCGTCCACGCGCGCCCTGCGAACGGACCCCGATAGTCAGTCGCGCCCCGGCGAACGCGCGCCTCTCGCCCACCGCGCTGCCCACCACTCACGTGCGCCCCGCGCTTTTCTTTTTCTGAAGCTTGTTCTTCCCTTCTGAGGCCATTCCTCGTGCAAGACTTCCGGAACTGCCTCAGCGACAAACGCACCGCTCCGACCCCCCTTCCGCCCGTGACCACGCCCCTTCCGACCTCGGACACGCCCCTACGCTCTCGGCGGGTTCCTGGCGCCCGCAGGGTTGCCGCGGCAGGGCGGGGCGGGGCGGGGCGGGGCGGGGTCGTGAGTTTGGCTGTCGTTCTCGAGGTTATCGGAGCAATCTGGTGTGGGAGTGAAGGAGATGGTCCAGTGCTTGAGGCCTGAAGTATGAGTAGGGTCCAGCTAGGCCGGGAGTGGGCGAAGAGCAAGCCATGAGTAGTTGAGGAGGGCGGGGAGGCCCGGCGGGCGTGAAGGCTGCGGAGGGGAAGTGCGCCTCGCGGTCGGGGAGGCGGCGCGACGGGCGCACAGTGCTTTGAGCTCTTTTCCACGTTCCTCTGACTTGACATCTTAAAATGAGGCCACAGCTCAAGCGTTCGCACCTAGAGCTGCTGAGATCCTCGTGCGGCCCACGATTCTGCCTAGGGACACTGGTTCCTCCAAGCCCATCTCGGGGTCCCCTTCCAAACCCTCGCGTCCTAGCCAGCTTCTCCTTATTCGCACTGCCTACTTAAAGGCGTGAAGTAAGGATTTACGTCCTATTCATCCGTACGTCGTATCTGTTCACTGTACCTGATGAATATTTGCTAAATTGACCTTTATGTAATAAGATGGTATCGAATTCAGTAGTTTGGGTTATAGAATAGGATTTGACATGCAATCTTTTTGAAACAGCCTAGCTTTTGAAAGTCGCTTAACATAAGTTGACTGGAAATACATGTGATCTTTTTTTGCCCTGTCTGATAACTATGAAGAACTCACCCTGCTTGACCCTGGTTTTGATTACTGTGCTTCCTATTTGGGTTTCTGGTAATGTTGGTATCCTGATTATTTAAAATATAAAACGATCCACGTAGGCAGGTGGTGCACCTTGCATGCGTCCTACATCAGATCTATTGAAAAACTCTCTTCAGTTTCCTTTTCCCATTCCTTCTCCCTAATGTTCCAAGAATTGTCTCTACCTAAAACACTGTAGTCTCATCCTATCTGGCCCTGGGGACTTCCAGCCTCCACACTAGCCTACGTCTGATTGCCGGGTAAATCGCGCTTTTGGGGTCATTTACTGTCTGCAGATACCACAACTTTCACTGATACTTTGCCATTGTACACTGGTTCTCCCGGACCAAGCAGTTCACTTAAAATTGCACTTGATTTTATGCCTTACCATAATTGCAAAACTAAGCCATGAAACTATACCATTGAAAGACTATCTTATGAGTGCATAACCCCTCACCTGATGTTAGTCCCAAATCCCTAGATGACAGGTTAAAACTAGAAGAAAAGGACTCAAAAATGAAAGACCAGGCATATGCCCGTAATTCCAGGAAGAGGCAGAGGCAGGAGGATTGCAAGTTCAAGTGCTTCAGCAGTTTAGGCCCTACGCAATTTATGGAGAACCTGTCTTAAAAAGGTCTGGGATTGTGCTGGGGATGTGGCTCAACCGGTAGCGTGCTCCCCTGGCATGCGTGCGGCCCGGGTTCGATCCTCAGCACCACATACAAAGATATTGTGTCCCCTGAACACTAAAAAATAAATATTAAAAAAAATTCATTCTCTTTAAAAAAAAAAAAAAGGTTTGGGATTGGGGCTGGGGCTGGAATATAGCTCAGGTGGTAGACTGCTTCACATGTACAAGGCTCTGGGAAAAATAAGGTCTGGGATTTAGCTCAGTGGCAAAGTGTCCCTGGATTAAATAAACCCTTGGTCCATGAGTACCACCCATCCCTGAAGAAAAAAAAAAAAAAACAGGAAAGTAGTGTGCAAGAGACTGTTATTGGAAATAATATAAAGATTATCCTTATTGCCATTCAGAACTGTTTTTTAACCATTAAAATATCACTAACCCCTCCCTAAGGGGTTTGACCAGGTGCAATGACATATGTCTGAAATCCCAGCAACTTAACAAGGACCTAAGTAACTTAGACCCTGTCTCAAAATTAGAAATGGCTGGGATGTACTTCAGTTCCCAGGCTTCAATCCCTGGTTCCAAAAGAGAAAAAAATGTTAGGGGTTTCATAGATTCTGCTCCATTTTATCAGAAAATTGCCTAAAGTTACTTCAGTAAGAAACCAACCTTTTGGAAAACAATATAACATCTCAGTTTTATAATATATTGTAAGCTAACCTAATAAATGTACTTTAGGGAATCCTTGGTAGACTTGGGTCAAATTCTATTCTTAATCCCTTTAGAGAGGTTGGTTAAAAAAAAAGGGGGGGGGCATAAGCATATGATTACCAACAAAATTGGTAATCATTACTCTCTGGAGCACTGTCTGTAACATGTTAGGGTTTTGTGATGAGGTAAGATTGAAAACAATAGGATAAAGGAAATTATTTAGCCAAGTATCTTTCTACAAGCCTTCTCACCTTTTAAATAGTCAACACCGATTCCTTACAAAGAGTATGCTCTATAGAGCATTACCAAGTGTATTTGAGAATACATTTCTAGGGGACAATATTTAGGAACTCATTTTGGGAAGCAGGTTTGACATATTTTAAAACTTCTCCCTTAAAACTAATTTCTATAAAGGATCTTCCCAAAGATGCTTTAATGCATATTTGAGATTTTTGTGTCCAAGTTAATCTTCATTGTCTTAAGAACTTTTTCTTTTGTTGGAAAATCCACTAAATGGGAACAAAAAGCTAAATGTTGATTGTAGAAGATTTGGAGCACTGCAGTGGTTCTCAACCCAGGTGCACATTAAAATCATTGGAGTTCAAAGCCAGACTCAACAACTTAGTATGGCCCTAAGTAACTAGGCAAGACCCAATTTCAAAAAGGGCTGGGAAGTGACTCTGATAAAGGGCCCCTAGGTTCAATACCTTGTAAAAAAAACAACAACAAAAAACCTTATAGACCTATCCCTTCCCTTCATTCCTGTCTTACTCCACCTGACCATCCTGCGATCTTTCCCATGTGAATCTGCATGGAATAAATAAATACCCTGTTCTCCTTCTTCCAGGACCTAAAGAGTATAATAAATTGTTTAAAAAAAAAAAAAAAAAAAAAATCAACACTCAGGTACTGTGCCAGACCAATTAAACAGAACTCTCTGAGGTGGGATTTTAGTATTATTTTAGTAATGCCCATTTGATTCCAGTTTGCAACAAGAGTAAGGCAGACTTAAGATCTAATTAAATTAAAAAAAAAAAAAAACTACTGGTAATGGTTTTTGTGTTAATGAAAACAATTTTTAATTTTTTTCTTTTTCTTCTTTGGAGAATGAAGTCATAAGAAAAATACAGATTCAAGTAAAACAGTATATGTAATTCAAAAAGGCCTAAAAAAATCCCTTTTCTGATTTAAGATGTCACAGGAGAAGACATGTCTCTGAAGAAGGGTTTGAGGAGTTTCCATAGAAAAGGGAAACTTGACCAGAGCTTGGCATGTGTGACAAAAAAATAATTTCAGCAAGTGCCAGTCAGAGGCAGAGACAGGTTTATTTAGGAAAGTAGATATTCATTCAAAGGAGATTGGGGCAGTCTCAAGAGAGATACCTTGGGGTAAAGCAAGGATTGTGCATTCAAGGGAGAATATAGGCCATTTCCAGACAGAGAGGCAGCAACCTGTTGGTGCAGCATCCATACTAGGGGCTGGATCTAAGGTGGACCCAGGTAGACTTACCTAATTTTGCCCAAGTATTTCCTGCACTTGCAAACTACCCTCTGTACACAGGCACAAGTGAGGGCATGTTGCTCGAGAGCTGCATTTCACAGGTGCTGCATTTTGGTGGCTTACAGGCACTTCCTTTGGAACTCTCTCTTCCTTTATTCCCAAATTCCTATCTATCATCTCAAATGGACTTTTTTAAAATTTTGGTGCTAGGGATTGTACTCTGTGTCATGCGTGCTAAGCACACATTCCACCACTGAGCTACACCTCCAGCCCTGGTGAATGGACTTGTAATTTTTAAAGATGGAATATTCCCATTTTTATATGTCAGTTAACCACTTGTGCTAATATATATACTGGAGGTATATGTTCTAGTAGTTCATTACATATAGTAATGAACTACAATTACTTATCTTTTAGAAACAAGATCAAGGATTCACAAACTATGGCATTTTATTTCAGAGCCTTTGCTTACATTTGTACAATATATTACATAATTCTTCATTGTTTGCAGATCCTAATATATACTTTATAGCTTTTATTCTATAAGGTTTTTCTTCAACATTTTGCTGTCAACAAATCTTTACAGTCCTGTACAAATCTGAGTAACTTGAAACCATTTTCAACAAAATTAGTTACTATAAGCACACACTACAAGACTGAAAATGCTTTTCTTAGAAAAGTTGAATGTAAAGGATTAAGGATTCTGACACGTTAGCATCTACAACAAAACGCTTTGAGATTCTCACGTCGTATTGCCAGAAAACAAACAAAACATGCCAGCCCCATTCAAAAAAAGTACACAGAACTACAATTAAAACAGTAAAACAGTCTGTACAGCAAAGTACTGTGTATTAACAGTGCCAGGTATTAAATAGCTTCAATGAACACATCCTCAATATACAAATGTCTTACAAAGGTGAAGAATTAAATACAAGTGCCAAACAGAACAGAGATTGGAATCATACAACATAAAGTCAATACAGGTGAAAACAATTTTGCGTTCATTTTGGATTTTATACAAGGCATTTAATTTTAAAGGCCTATCACCCCAATTAGCTATTTATACTTAAAATAACAACCATCTTTCTCAAGACAGTTCATACAAACCTTGAACCATACTAACACAGTTTGTTCCTGAAGTCCTTTGTTGTAGCTCATAATAAAATAAGCAATACAAATGAATTATCTGTATTTAAGGGAAAAGAAACATTTACAAGAAAACACAAAAATATAACTGTTATAATTCATTATGAATAAATATACACTTTGAACTGGCTAAGTACAATCTTTATACATTGTTTAAGATTTAATACAGTTTATTAGCCATTTTTTTTCACACAATGTATTATATCAAAATTAAAAAAAAATACTGATTTATA